CCCGCCTTAAATAATATTAGTTAAAAGATAACCAAGGTGGTGACGTAGTGAAAGCACTCACTTTCCACCGATGTGGCCCGGTTTTAAGTCCCGGCATTGTTGGTTCTCTCCCTTGCTCCCAGAGGTTTTTCTCCGGGTACTCCGGTTTTCCCTATCCTCAAAAACCAACGCTTCAATTCGACCCCGAATCAGTAGACAAAGAACTGCCCTGTAGATGGCTACTACCAGACAGTTATTCACTATTGACAGATAGTTATATTTGTTTACTTATTTATTCAATTTCATTTATATCTTATTATTTAAAGAAGTCTAAGAGGAACATCAATCTTAGCTGAAAGGGCTAGTTAACAGTATCGTTACCTATGCATCTATATCCTTTGCTAGTAAATCCTACTTGACACCTATAGCCTGGATTACACGGGCTTCTTGGGCAATGATTCTGGTGACGAAAAAATAACCAAGCTTTAATAGAGAAGAAATAAATTTGAATTATAACCTAAGTGGGCCATGATGCACTCCTTCTCTGTTGAGAGTCGAAAGTAGTTTGATATAGTGTTTACGGTTTCTCGAGTCGTTTGCAAAACTCAGTGATAACATTGTCTCTTTAAGTTTCCGGCCATCATGTTAGTGACCCTCCAAGAAAATTTCAGGTATGAAAACCCCTACAGACCTGAATATTATTGCGATCGTAATACATCTCACTCTTCTAAAATATCCAAGTTTCGTGTTGTTTTTGTACACTGCCTTTAATTTTTATTTAATTTTTATTTTTTATGGTGTGAGAGTGAAAACCAGCAATTACACTGACCCACGTAGATTTATAGATGAAATTCAATCGTTCCTTTAGATCTTCAGGATGCAGATTATGATCTGAACTGCTCAGTTCACATAAATGCTTCTCTTGACTCTTTGGTCCGAAGTTTATTGACATGCAGTCGTCTTCAGCGAAACAGTTGGCTTCACACCCTTCTTCTGATGTCACCCATATCCCTTTTATCACGTGACCCATAAGGCTGCGATTGTGAGTTGCAGGCTTAAACTGAATTACCCGGCAGTCTTCTAAAGATGATTTTGCCTCTACAACTGAAAGAAAGTATTTATTATTATTTGATATTAATAACTTTATTTTCTAAAAGTTACAGTTGTTTCGACCGCTACTTAGAGAAGCTCCTATTTTCCTATTTGTACCCCCCCCCCCGCCCCGACGGAGCGGGGGAGGCACTTCCTTATTTGGTCTATACGTGTAAATGCCGCTGAACAGGGTATGGTTTCAGAGCCTTAGCTTTAAATGAGGTTCTCTGCTGTTTTCTAAAGATGATTTTTTCTCTACAAATGAAAAAAATTTTTTATTTTTTTTTGATTTTTATAATCTTTTTTTCTTAAAGGTACAGTTGTTTCGAGCCCTATTTTATGAATGTCCTTTTTTCCTCTTTTGCCCCCCCCCCCCCCCGCCCCGACGGAGCGGGGGAGGCACTTCCTTATTTGGTCTATACGTGTAAATGCCGCTGAACAGGGTATGGTTTCAGAGCCTTAAGTCTCAAACAGGGTATACGATTTCACTTATGATTAGCGTCCTGGGTAGGGTGTCTTGTCTTTTTGAGGCGGAATCCTTTAATGGAGTGTGAGAGTTTGGCGATGAGACGTCTACATTTGGTACCAACAATTCTTGTTTTTCCAAAAAGTCTTAGTCCATGACGTTACTTTGAAAAATTAGTTATTATAATTCTTATGCAGAGTGAAACGAATCAGGGTCTAAAGAATTAGGTCTCTTGTCTTACACAGGGATTGCCCAAGCGAAATGGATCATTTCTGTCTCAAGCAGGGTCAGAGTTTGAAGGCCTCGGCGGCACACCTCCACCCTAACGGCGCTTGAGGGCCCCCCGCGCTTTGTTAATCAAGGGAAGGCGCAAAATAGATTAATTATACGTTGGAAAACTAGAAATTTTGCTGTGAATTCTTGTTTGAAAATATAGCGCAGCAGACAATGCACTGACGACGCAAAAAAAAACAAAAAAAACAAAAAAACAAAAACTCGTCCATAGATAGATCACAGGAAGTTCCTATCGCAACAATGGGCCACTATTCAATATTGAATGAATTTTTAAAGAATTTAAATTGATTTTCGCCAATGAAGAGCAATAATTACCTCATTCTAATTAGGAAACTTATCTGAAGAGATAATGTTTTTCTTAGACTTAATTAAAAATATATGTAGACTTAATTGAAATGAGGTCGATCCTGAGCAATTTTATGCTGATATGATGGAGGACGCATCTGAGATGTACACTGCATGTAATTATAGCTTAAATTGTTAAAAATAATATATTAAATTAGTAATAAATCAAAATAGTGTTACTTTGAATTTTCGAAGAAGCAAGAATACATAAGGCATGCCTAGGCCTCTTCCAGAGCAGTTTCACGTAAAACAGGGATCTCAGGCAAATAATATATGTTGCCTCTGTATTTCTGACAAGCATAGCAATGTGGAGTTGATGAAACTTTGCCCAACTCAGTTCTTGCAATGACGACCCAATTTCCTCTTACCGAAAAAATTTCAGGTGTAATCTTACATTATCTTTAAATGACCCATACACTCTTTTTTCAGTACCAGTCCTCCTAACTAGCTACATGTCGAATTGAGCAAGAAGATAATAACTTACCAACTTCACCTTGAAGACATTTCTCAGTTAGGAACCAGACTAGGGTAACTGCTACAAATTGTACTCTTAAACTTAAATGAACTCGTTGAGACGGCAAACGGGAAGAAATCCTCATATTTCCCGCTAGAAAAAAAAAATTAAGCGAGAGACGAAACACCCACTTACCAAAACTGAATTTAACTAAACGAAAAACAGATTGAAACTATTTTTTAACATTTGGTAACAGACACATGATCAATTATTAATTGAACCCCTTGGTTTTCGTTGTATACATAGCAGATTTCACTGCTGTGAGACTCGCTTTTATAGATTAACTGAAAACAATGCAGTTGTTATCAAGCTTTCCTTGTACGTGATATGAATTTGTTGCGTTGTTGGCCTAGACTGTCTTAATTGTTGTGATGTTCTGTATACAGTCGGTTAAAGGCTCCCCTAGAGGAAAGCAAGTTCTCAATTGTAATCCCAATGTATTTTAAAATATCCTGGTGTCAGACTCCTGCCTGTGTTCAGGTTACAAAGTTTGTGAATTTTCTGGATACTTTTTTGTTACTATGGCTACTCTTATTACCCTCAAACTGCGGAAGAAAAATATTTTATTTACCAAGGCGATCACTTCTTTAATTTGGGTTTTCTTAAAATTTTTGGTACAAAGAACTGAAACATTGTTAGTTCTTTTTCGTCTTCGGACGGAATTTTTTTTACGGGTACTCCGGTTTTCCCCTCTCCTCAAAAAAACAACAATCTACATTTCAGTTCGGTTTGTCTCATCCTAACATAGAGCCAAGGTCTAGGACCCTACCTAAGCGGCACAAACCTGTCCCAAATTTATGGGGAGCACTTCCTCCCCCACGGGATCCAGAATGTGGTAGACGAAGAGCCACTTCGTGGATAGACTGTGACCCTAAACTCAAATTAATAAACAGATTGATTAATTAATTAACTTGTTTATTTATTTACTCATTCATGTATTTAATCTATCTACCGGTCAAAACAGAGTCCGGAGAAATGAGGCGAAATGACTGAGTAAGCATTTAATGCCCAAGAGTTAGTGAGAGCGTGAAAGAGTACAGTGTCAGAATCTTACAATCAGGGGATTTAATTCTCTCCTTTTTAACGCGAAAATTAAATGAAATTCTCTTTAAGCTGGCCGGTGTACCAGTTAAGACGGGTAATTTGACCTGAGCATTAATTGGCAAGTATATAGATAAAAAAATGTGTTTGAAGTAAATAAGGACTTAATTGCATGAAGAAGGAAAGAAAATCTATCATGAAACACTTGTGTTGTCAACCGACTGGCAAAATGGTAGTTTATAACTATACCCCATTTAGTTTTCTAATCCGTGAAACATTCATTTTGTTGGTTAATTTTTTTTGTTTATTGACTCACTCTCAAATGAACAAGCTTACTTATTACTTTTACAAATGAATAATAACGCTTACTGGAGTGATTAGTCACAAAAACTGTACCTTATTGTAAGTCGTTAACTGAAGGACCGTCTGTACGCCTCCAATGTTTTTGTGTAATATATTAAAAACGAGTTCTTGTCAATTATACAGTTTTATAATACTGCAATTTATTTCAAAAAGTTTATACAATTTACATGGAAAGTTAAAAATCAGTTACCTAAAATGGTTGGATTTAAAGCCTCGCTTACACCTTTCATTTCTTAACTTAACTGCAAATTATAGTAACCAGTATACCATCATAATGAGAAATGATGCTGTTTAGGCAGTGACCCATGAGGCGGCTAGCGATCGAAAAACATGAAAATGTAAATCATGCTCTGATGAAAATTTCCATGGCACTGAGGTTTCTATCACAACTAAATTAGTTAATAGAGAGATTTAGAGTCGCGTTTACGGCAAACGGCAAATGTTAGTTTGTGCCACGTGACCAAATATTCCCCTTTTCTTGTCGTTTACTGTCATTATGACCACACGAAAATCGGTAGATTCACGCCAGTCCTATCCATAAAAATTGTTTTTCAAGAGCTGTTTTTAGCTGCTCGTTTCCTATTTTGAAAATTTCTTAACTTGAATCTGGCGTTTGCCGTTTGCCGTAAACGTAAGTTTAACTGGCTCTCTTATCCCAGCCTGTAGATTAGTTCATTTATTCTGTAGATTAGTTCATTCTTTCTACCTCGACTTTTCATTCGCCATTTGCACATCTTTCTTATTTGCCTCCAAAATTTTTTTCATAAGCTTTGTCTTAAGTTTCTCTTGAGGCGACTGTTATACCCTGGAGAAATTAAAGACAAAGGTTATGCGAAATTTTGGGTTACAAAAAGGGTGTATTTTGGGAGAGGTATAGTGTAAATGGCGAATCACCGAATGACCTTGTTAAACATACCACCCATATATATCAGCGCATGTCATTCCCATGTTATTATTGCCTTCGCAATCAGTCAAATCTTCCCCGTACCAAATTTGAAACTTTTGGCCAACTGAAACGGACAGTGGATGTAAAAGGCGATTGAAAACCAACTCTGGAGAGTCAACATCAGTTCCCTCCAGCTGATACGCGTAATACTTGTAACCACACCCTGCGTTACTTCTTAAGTAATTAGCAATCAACAGGGCAGATCTGTTGGGATACGTTATAACAGTCAACAACTGATTTTTGCCGAAAAGAGGATGGGTGCAACCCCAGTTGTTGAGTTTATAACGAGGATCACATGTCACAGAACCATTCCGATGGACGAGTTTGAATGTATAAATGAGGCCGCTTTCTCTAATACTGAAAGCTCCGAAACTGTCATCGTCAACTCCAAAGCAAACTGGGTCTTCACTGATCTTTTTCCAGTTCTCTAAAATTGAATCAGATATATTCAGTTAGGTAATTCACCATTTTCTTACATTGCCCCTTACCTTGTTTACCCTCCAAAATGTTTGTATAAACATTGCAATGGAGTCGAATAGAGGTAAGCAAGTTTTAAACTTGGAAATAGTTGGAATGAATATGAAAACAATGATTTCCTTCGGCTTTCCTTTAGATCATGAAGAATTATACAGGCATTCTTCTAAAAATTACGTTACCTACGCATCGATATCTTTTATTGGTAAAGCCTGTTTGACATCTATAGCCTGGAGGGCATGGCCTGCTCGAGCAATAATTCTGTTGAAAAAGAATAATAATAATATAAATAATAATAATAATAATAATAATAATAATAATATCATAAATAATAATGATAATAATAATAATAACAATGATAATAATTGAAGTTCTTGAAAACGCATTCTACATATAAATGTCTCGATGCTTTTCACAACTGAAAGAACGAGCAGTCTCACGAAACAGGTACGTTTTCAAAGCCGTTTTGAAACTATCAGCAGAGTTACTTTGTCTAATGGCAAGCGGTAGCTGATTCCATAACTTCGGATCAATTAACGCGAAAGATCTTTAATCTCCGTAAGTAACTGTAGTAGTCTTGGGGATAGCTAGGAGGTTGGAATCACTAGAACGAATTCGAAAAGAACGACAGGGAGTGTAATGACGTAACAGTTCATTGAAAGACCATTAATTAAGAGATTTGTTCGTAATCAACTGTAACTGGAAGCCAGTGCAACTTTTTTAAAACAGGAGTAATGTGATTAGTCTTCTTCATGCACACAGTTAATCTTGCCGCGGTATTCTGCAATCTCTGAAGTTTCTCAATTTCACGAGAGGGAATTTCTTAGAGCAAACTGTAAATATTTAGTTAAGAAGTCAGTGACTTACCACTTGGTGCTTTTATGTCCCATCAACATTATTCGAAATGAAAAAAGTAAATGGCTAAGTTGACAGGTAAGATGAATGATCAAATACAGCCCGCAACAGTAACAATGATTACAAGCATATCTCAGCTGAGGCAAACGTGGCTTCATTATTTCATGGAGTGGCTTAATCCATTCAAACCAGGCTCTTTTTTCTTCCTGTGGCCAGGGAAGGCCTCGGAGACCCTTATCTATAACTTCCAAACCACTTACACAGAATAATGTACTTTTCATTTCCAGCATCTAGGCGTAACCTGATTGACACAAATGACGTACTTTGACGTCATTTTGACGTCATTTTGTTGAATCTATTGGCAGAATCTGACTTCCCCTAAAAGAAGCCACAAGCCAAAAATATTTACAGTGCGACTACTCAAATCGGGGTACTTGAAAGAAGACTGTATCATCACAACGTTTTACGAAAGTAAAAGATTCTCACGCTTTTTTGCCAAGCAGGGCTTTTTCCTGAGAGGTCATGTAAGTTAAAAAATGGCCGTCTTATTAATTGCTGGTTTGCACGTGACGTCACGGCGGCAAAAGTGGTGGTGTGTTAGGGTTCAGAAAAAAGCATTTCTCTCTCTGGGAACTTAACCCAATTTTCATGTAAATTCTTCAAGAAAAAATTCTATTGTATTGACCACCAACACACCACCAATATGGCCGCCTTGTCACTTGATTGCAAGCCAAGAATGTAAAAGTATAAAAAATATAAAAAATATTAAAAAAATATTTAAAAAAATAAAAAAATATTACTCCAAACAAAGTCACCATGTCTAAAACGGATGCCAAGAGGTAGCCCCTGCCTTTAATTCTTTAGTAAACTTCTTTGAATCCCTATTCGTTAATTTAGAAACTAGCGTAAACTGGGTCGATTTAAAATTCGTGAAGACTTCTGAGGTTGGACTAGGGAAAAAGAAAAAAATTGGTCAATAGCTGACCAGCGCGTTATGAACAATTGGTTTACGCTTTTCGGCTCCACTTCCCTTATCGTTTGTAAAGTGGCAAATGGGGAGGCGGATATTTCTTGTATGCATGCGGAACAGGAGCCCTCCTGGCAGAACTATTACTTACCAAGACAGATTTATAAATGAACTTCGATCGTTTCCTAAGACCTTCAGGATGCAGATTATCATCTGAACTGCTCAGTTCACATAAATGCTTCCCTTCATTCTTTGGTCCAAGGTTAACTGACATACAATCGTCATCGTCGAAACAATTGGCTTCGCAAACTGTTCCTGAATCTACCAATAAACGCCTAATGACATGACCTGCCAGGGTACGTCCAGGAGTTGGCGGTCGGAACTGCATCACGCGACAATTATCCACGGATATTTTTCCTTCTACTATTGCAAAAAATTAAATCAATGGGTAAATTGTTACTTGCTTTCATTTTCGTTTTAGTTTGTATGCATGATGCAAATAAAGCAAGAACATTGTACCGTACTGACATGGTAAAAACCTAGGTATGGAAGGGGGAGTTCCGCTGTCAGTCCGACCGCAGTGGGGGTATTGTATTCAAGGGTATTCTCAAGGGAATTGTAGTAATTAAATTTCGCAACACGAAAAATAGTATAGACTCAATTCATTTCTCTAGGAAGCTTAACTACAGCAAAACCCTTTGTTCCCCTTAGGCTCTTCTTTCAATGATACAATATGTATCATAAACCATCTTTAAATATCACAGTTTCCCAAAATGTAAAGTGCAACTAGTAGTTTTTATCAGATAATATTGGAAAAAGTGTATTATTTTTTTTTTACCGATAAATCAAGAATTTACCCTCACTAATTTCCTATGCAGAATAAAGTCCGGGTGCTATTTTCTGGGTTCTGTCGAAACAAACAGCACATATTTTGATGAAGCAATTCCATGTTTGGAGGTGATGCCTTCCGTTTCATCAATTCTCATTTCTCATTTTTCAAACTGCCTTTATTTTAACGTTGTGCAGGCATAATTTCACCTCTAATATCATCTGCTCAAGTTTACACTCCGAAACCTGTGACTGCGGGGCTATAGCGTTTTCTTATCACAAAGCCATTATCTGTAAATCAAACAGTTATCTCGTATTAGTTCTTTTCATTTCGTTTCATCCTTGGCTAAATATTGAGGCCTAGAAATAAAGTATTTATTCTCGTGGTGGTTTCCTTGGTACGTAAAAGAATTTATATCCACCCGCGGGCTTGACAATTTTTCTTCGCTACGCTCCAACGAAACCGCTGCATACTGACTAAAATAACTGATGATAACATACCGACTGAGGCAAGCCATGGTTGGTTAAAAATCAAGACCAGAAATGCTGCAAAAAAGGGTAACATCAGGTAACCTCGTTGAGACTCCCAACCAAGCTGAGCTCGAGAAATCGGCATGCTACTCTTTGCGAAAACTGCAAGGAATTGAAGAACTCCTAGCGCCCAAAATTAAAGTGAAGTTAACTGCAAAAGAATTTTTAAATAAGTGGAAGTAGATAACTAGATAGCATGATTAATTATTAAATATAAAAACAGAAAGGTATTAAAACTTTTTTTTATTGTTTTGACATTACGATAAAGGATGTCACCTGGAGACAGTCTTTGTGTACCGTATTTATTCGATTAACCACCCTGGGCGCTTATTAAATTTTTGGACCTTGAGGGTGGGCGCTTATTTGAGATGGGCGCTTATTAAATTTTCACCATTTTCAGTAAGTGTAGTATGTTTATTTTGCAAGAAAACAATAAATGGTAATAACAAAACGTGAGGATGTAATAAAGCAAGGTTTCTGTAAAATACTCTTAAGAAAACTGCGCCTTCGAGAAAGTCTTTTACTAGTAATTATTCAATTTTTTTTTTAGTAAGAGGGGGAGGGGGAGGGGGTGGGGTGGGCGCTTATTCGAGGCTGGGCACTTATCAACTTTTTCTGTCTTTAGGGTGGGCGCTTATTCGAGGAGGGCGCTAATTCGAGGCTAGGCTCTTATTCGAATAAACACGGTATCCTTTTTTTGCGTAAGCCGGACCCACACAACCGATCGATCTACTTTTTGATAACCTGCTTTTATTTGTGCAAGGCCAATTTAACCTTAATCGTAACTAACAGTAGGGGGCACCGAATCTTATTGTACTTAAAAAAAAAATTGTAACCGTCTGTCACTATTGATTAATCAGTGAGTTGACGCAACAGGACGGCGGAAAGAAGAGGGCGGCAAAACGCTCCTGTGTGACAAACGTGACTGCGCTATTACTTGCGAATCGTGTTGTAATCTTCACTTAACATTAATGTTTTCTGGTCTTTACGAAAAGACCCGTTTAAAGGCAAAATCACCCCGTTTATTAATTAACCACGACGCAAGTCTGCCATCTTTTAAATTGAATTTCTTCAAAACTAGCAGGAGCTAAAACTAATAAACCCTTTTCAAATTAGTGACGTCACTGTGGCTATAATGAAACAGTGGCCATGTTGGTGTACGAAAATTAACCTACAGGGAGTGAATTGTATTCGCATGGTCCTTATGTGACTGAAATTTCTTTTGCTCCAAGAAATTTGCATAGCTACTGACCACATGAGAGCAAACGATCATAACCAAAATTCAGGACTGGTTTACGCAAATTCGAGTAGCTTCCTCGCTATAAGCGAATCGAAAAGGTACGGTGAATCTACAATATTGTAGGCTCAATCTTGAAATACTTTCTTCTTGTCTGCACCTATCTGCAATTGACTACATCTCTAATTGCCTCTCACTACATCTTCTTAAACCTAAGCCTTGGCGACCTAAGTTAAATTAATAGCTTCATTAAAAAGACGATAATATGAAACTCCTTTAAAAACCGGTGACTGAACACTTTCTCATCCGCAGATGCCTCTTTTAGTCGTAGGGAGGCTGGGGAGAGGAAGAAAGGAAAGCGTGAGGGGGACGACGGGAGGGGGAAAGAGAAGAAGAGATGCAGGCACCTACCTATCCTCTCTTCCCATCGTCCCCCGCGAGCTTACTTTTTTTTTATTTAGTTGCTATGTTTTTAAACTAGGAATTATTTTGAATGAATAATAAAGCAATTATTAATTAATGAATGGGGCTGGGTATCTTATGAAGAATTATGGGGATCGAGGAGGGTGTTATCCTTCGAGGCCTTAGACCGAGACGGATAACACCCTCCGAGATCTCCATAATTGTTCATATGATACGAAAGCCGAATTCAATAACTGTGTTTTCACAACCAAAAACAACTCAACCTCGTCCCAAAGTCTTCTTGGTTTAAGGTGCATTAACCTGCAAGAAGGTTGCACTTTTGACGTCAGCGGTTGATCAATCACAAAATTCTTTCAAATTTGGTCATCTATAGCTGGTCATGGTGAATTATACTTGTGCTTTGAGCCATCATGATCAGGGGAAATATTTTGAATGAATAATAACATGCGACTTAAACATACAAGGAGTGAACATGGACACAAGTTTGTCCACTTTTACCCTGCTCGGTTCAATCGAGCAAATATTCCCTGTACCAATTGCCTATTCGGTATTTCAGTATAAACAAGTGGCAACAAGTAAAATAAGCGCTGAACAGACTTAAGTGCAGTGACATACTAGATAGCATGGTTTAAATATACCAAGCGTAAACATCGACACATGTCTGGCCACTGTTATCAAACTCGGAACAATCGACCAAATCTTCCGCGTACCAAATTTGGAACGTTTGACCAAGTGAGACGTTCAGTGGAGGCAGCAGATGGTTAAACACTAATTCTGGGGAGTTAACATCAGTTCCTTCCAGATGATTCGTGTAATATCTGAAGCCACAATTCCGTGTATTTCTCAAATAGTCAGCCAGCAGAAGGGCAGACCTGTTTGTATACGTCAGAACAGTGGCCAATTGCTTGTCCCCATACACTGCGTGCTTGCAACCCCAATGGGTTGGTTCGGACTCATGCGAGAAGGTACAATTTACAGAACCATTCCTATAGACCAATTTGAATGTGTTGGTGAGGCCGCTTATGTTGATCGTGAATGTTCCGTAAGTGTCACCAGCAGCTCCGAAGCAAACTGGGTCTTCATTGATCTTTTTCCAGTTTTCTGAAAACGATAAACATGAATCTGCTAGCAATTGAATTTTATACAATTAAAGGTGATGTAACACTGGACGATTTGCAACTACGGTTTTTAGCGCAACACATGCTGGAACAATGTTGTAACCATTCGCAACAATGTCGCAACAATGTTGCAACGCTGTGTTGCGCTAAAAATGGTTGTTGCGAATCGTCTCGTGTAACATCCCCTTAAGATACGATGCAATTGGATGCAACAACAATGGGCACCCAAAGAAATGGAAAACATGTTAACCCTTGTAAGGGAAGTCGGATTCCGGAATGTGGGAAAAGATTTTGATTGTGGAATCCGGAATCCCGGGAAATTTGTGCTTCTGGGATCTACAATACTAATCTTTCAATTCCGGAATACAACTCAAGGAATCCGGGATCCGACTAACGATTGGAATCCGGGATCCAGGTTCCACTGACCAATGCTGGAATTGCCGTACCTGGAATCTGGAATCGACAGCGTGGAATCCAGAATCCACGAGTGTATTGGACCTTACATGGGGCGAAGCGTACATAAAATCCCGTGATTTGTGACGTCACATTTGAGCCTGTCAAATTGGTGACCAGTGGAACAGGTGTGCTAAAGACATTTATACTTTCAAGTTTTCTAAAAAAATCTCATTTTGTTCAAAACGCAATAGTAGTATTGGTAGTCTGTTTACGGCACATTGTTATGCAAATGAGGTTAGTCGCCATACAAACCCTTCTAATTCTGGAATGATGAAGACCAACAGAGGACACAATGGAGGCAACATCTGTTACTAAGAAGTAACGTTGTGCGCGTGCGCAGTGTAAAAAAGAGCTAGTTTGTCTTTGCCCTCATTAATATGCACGATTTGCCCACCAAAAGTTAGTGAACCGGAACTAGGACAATCACAGCAGCAGCAAATAGGACAAGAGCTAGTTTGTCTTTGCCCTCATTAATATCCCCGATTTGTCCGCCAAAAGTCAGTGAACCGGAACTAGGACAATCACAGCAGCAGCAAATAGGACTTGCATAATTACATTACGCCTCCGTGATTTTAAGTCACATACAGACAAGTTTGACTTTACTCCTCAGACAGTATGAATTAACCAGTAAAAATGTTTCTTATTTTCTAACTAAACAATCGAAAACGAAGACGTTTATCGACCTTAAAGTAACTAGAAATCCTAAACCAACTAAAAATAGCACATGACCTTATCTTAATGGCATCCCTGCGCATTTTATTCATGAGATCAAGACAAAAGGTTATGACGTCATTGGCGTTAATTTATTCCTGCCCAAGTTGATGAAATTTCTGCCCAAAAAAGAGGCCTAACCGGTCCCTCCCTTACTACTGTTTGCATTTAATTCGACTGGATAGGGTTAGACAATTCGCCCAAAATTGGTTCGCCATTTTCTCCTATGTCGTCACCGCTCCGTTCGCATCCTTAGTAACAGCTAGCCTTCTTGTGTCCTCTGTTGGTCTTCATCATTCCAAAATTAGAAGGGTTTGTATGGCGACTAACCTCATCTGCATAACAATGTGCCGTAAACAGACTACTAATACTACTCGCAATTTTTTTTTAGAATAGGTTCTCGAAGCTATATAAATCATACCTTTACATCGGTATCTTTTACCAGTAAATCCTGTTTGACATCTGTACCCTGAGGGACATGGACTGCTTGAGCAATAATTCTGTTAAAGGAAAAAATCGAATTAAAAGGCTTTTTTTGTATCATATACTTGTGATTTTCATGAGGACGAGAAATGCTCATCTCCACGCGCAAGGTGGCCTGCAAACCCGGACGAATTACAGCTCGTCGCTTCTCTGCACACTTTACCTGTCATTCAATATCTCCTTCATTTAAAGGGCGATTTTCACCATCTTCAGAGCAAATATGTCTCAAAGATAAACGAAAAGCCACAAAATAGTCAAAATAAAAACAAATGGTAATAATAAAACAAACACAAAGACGTCCGAAGTTTAAATGATACACAAACAGATTCTCACGTATCCAACACTAATTGTACTGTAACATGCATGTTTGCAGTTACAATAACTTACCCACACAGACTTATAGATGAATCCCTGTTTGTGCGTAAGATCTTTAGGATGTATATTGTGATCTGAACTACTCCGTTCACAAATGTGCTTCCCTTGTTGTTGTGGTCCCAGTGCCGTAGCCAGACCAAACGGCCAACCGAGGCAGGCGGGAGTTGCTAGGGGGGTTCGGGGGCATGCCCCCCGCCCCCGAGAAATTTTGAACTTTAGTCTCTCGGAAATGCGATTTGCAGCGTTTTCTGGGCCTTTCGGTAACTTTTTTTCGAGTTAATTTAAGTGGAATTTAAAAAGCAATAATCAGAAACAAGCTACATAATCTGGATGACCGTTAACCTCGCCAATGGTTTTGATCAGTATTTGTTCAAAAAAAATTTGGGTTAACGTACGTAGCCCCTTGAGATCGATGATATGGTAATTTTTTCATAGTATATTGACTGAATTGCTGAATTCTTTGTAATATCATGATGCGTTAAAAATATCCAATGATCGCTTATGTAAAATAAAAATGATCGGCGAAATTCGTCAAAATTTTACCGAGGCGAGTGCCTCGGTTGGCCTCATACTAGCTACGGCGCTGGGTCCCAAGTTGACTGATATGCAGTCATCGTCATCAAAACAGCAGGCTTCGCATGCTGTTCCTGATTGTACCGATAATGTCCTAATCACATGACCAACAAATCTGCGTTGTAATGTTGGAGGCTGGAAGTGCATTATTCGACAATCGTCCAAGGATGTTTTTCCTTCTGTTCCAGGACAGTGTCAGTAAATATTGTTAGTGAATGATTCACTAATAAGGTCACGTACAGCTAATAAGGTCACCTACAGCTAAAAAACTGGAAAGAGTCTTTCGTTATCTTTTTAAAAAATTTTATTGTATTTTTTTTTATTATAGAAACGATATCTCTGAAAGAAGAAGAAGAAAAATCTTAAGAAACAACAAAAGGAGTTTAAAAAGTATGCACCAGCGTCTGCGTGTAGGTTTATTTTTCGGGCGAGGTGCCACACGTGTCGAAAAGTATGGCATTAGGTGATTTATTTACTCAATTTGTCGAGAAGTTGAGCATCCCCTTTCGGCAGCCTCTGGTCTATAAAGGAACTAGATTATCCCTTTAAAGCATTATTTGCAGGTGCAATTACGGCACTGGATACGAATTTTGTTGTGCACATGTATGCTGAATGAGAACGGAACACTATAAATTTCTTCGCCTGCGTTTGTCTCAAGGTTAACATAGGGAAAATGTTGAAGAGCAAAAATGAATCAACGTACCAGCCAAACTCTGAAATCTTTCATTTGAACACCAAACCAGAAGTGCTCCAATAAAACGATGAAATAACATCCGTTGGTCTATACGACGACCCATTTTTTTTTAACTGTCTGTTAACATGTGTTAAGAGAAGGCGACAGGATTTTTAACCAAGAGAAGGAGGAGCCAGTAGACAAATCGATGTTTAGTAAGTCTGACAGTACAAATTATTTTCTAGTTAGAAGACCCATGATAAATTATTAAAACCTAAAATAAAAATCATATTTTTGGCTATTTCATTATTGCAAAATAAAATGCCCTATGGAATCAAAAGCTGGATTTGTTTTTATGGGATGCCGTTAATTATGGAACCCACCTGGCTTCTTTGGTATTGTTGATAATTCTGCTCTCGACGGACCGAACGAAAACAGTATATAAGCTGGCATACGTTCACTGCTTTCTACTTATTTCTTGATTCAATATCAATTGTTAACGCATCTCATCAGATGTTGTTTAGTACTTCCAAAACCAAAAACTGACCACCTGAAGCGTAGCTTTAGTTACAGTGGTGTTCTTCTTTTGGAGAAGTTTTCATAGATGAATTTCAAATCAGTACTTTCAAACGGCAGCAAAGTTGACATACTTCCAGTTGTAGAGTTTTAGTTATTTTTCATGTTAGAGTGGTATTTTTGACTGTATGTTATTTCAAAATATATCATTCTTTCATGTACTCGTTTTTGTGAAATATAATTTTTAGTTTTGTTTGTTTGTTATGCCAACGAAGTCATGTCAAGTCATTAGCCAGTTTTTATCATTCTATAAATCACAAAAGATATTTACAAAAGTAAAAAGAAGGTTAATATATACAATAGTGTTTAAAAAAAATAATTGGATGAATACATAAAGTAAAAAGTAAAATAAATAAATAAAAAATGATGATAATAATAATAATAATAATAATAATAATAATAATAATAATAATAATAATAATAATAATAATAAATTATTGGGGCGCGGGGCAACAGCGCTTAACGCCCGCGAACCGTACCGGGGAAAGAACATACATAAGTAACTATCAGCAATAAAAACTTAATGATCTGACCCCTGACCCTAACACAGCTTTTCTATTTTTTTTTCTGTACTAAGTATCTTCCCTGCTCAGCACTGTTTGCAGGCTACAAAACAACCAAATACATCAATCTACTAAAACTCTGGTGTTATACCTCTTCTCTCTTAGCTTAGCTTACCTCTAAGAAGAAGGCTTTGGCATTTATGCCTCTTTGCGAATTCATTCTAGATATTTCTATTTCGGTGGCAAATAAATTCCTTTATTCCCCTCCTTTTTTTCCCTCTGTTTTAATAATTTCCTCGCTCCTTTTTAAATTTATATGTGAAGATCACCTGACCATCATTTTATTTCTGTGTGCGCGGTTTATTCTCGTGAATCATCGGATCAACGAAGTATTAGACCCTTGTTAGAAGCTGTTAACTGTTTTCTTTATTAGATTTTGCTCAAGTCCAAGTTCAAGTTCATTTATTCACACTTATTCAATTGCAATACAACAACAATAAGAAAAAAAAGAAGTAAAAACAGAGCTAACTATACATTGAATTAAACATAACAAAGTAAAAAAGTGTATAGCAGCCAAAGGAGCCAAGCTTTCGAGTTTGGTACTACCACAGAGCGGTTAATATACAAGTGGCTGAAGGTTATACACTACTTGTAAAAAACGGTTTAACTCTCCACGCGTTTAACTCTCCACCCGCCATCTTGGTCGCATGTGTCTCTTTCCTCCGCAGAGTCCTCTTTGTGTCGTAGGGAGGCTGGGGAGATACATCTAAAAAACATCTCAGTTCTCCACTTTGATTTACCTTTTGAAAGGGTCGCACGAAAAGGGACATCAGGCCTGTTTCAAACGTCGTGCTACTGCCGTGCTATGCTGGCTCGACTGAAGTTCGACTGCAGCACGATATATACTACACGACTCGGTTTCAGACGCCGAATTTAATTCAGTCGAATAGAAAGGCTGTTGCCGAAAACAAAACACAAAAATAAAGAAACGGTTAAGCAACTTTTAAGTGTATCTAATGTATTTATAACTTATGAATTGAGTTCGGCACGGCGGTAGCTAGCACAACGTTTGAAACCAAGTCAAGCTGCTGTCGTGTAGCACGGTAAGGATTGCCGTGCTACACGGCAGTAGCACGACTTGGTTTCAAACGTCGCGCTACTGCCGTGCTAAAGTCGAATTTAATTCGATCAATTGATCGAGTTCGGCACGGCAGTACACACGTTTGAAACGGGCCTCAGCCATTTTGTAAACATCTATGTCAATGCACCCTTGTTCCCGTCTTCCTCGGAAATCTGGCGCCATCTTGAATGCATTATATGGCAGAGGCTCCCGCCTTTTCCCTCTTCCCATCGTCCCCCGCACGCTTACTATTTTTCCATTATAACTATTTTTATTGAGATACCCAGCGGGAGCCTCTGCGGAAGGAGAGAGAACTTTGCCATTTTCCAGTTCTGTGTATGTATTTATGACGCACTATAAACCAGGCGCAAAAAGGGAAGAATGAGTACAAGCTTTGAGCGCAGTGATTTCTGGGGTCGTTTGAGTGAGCAAGTATTAGTTATGATCGGTCGATGGTATTCACAGCTAACCATTAACCATTAAAAGAAACGCTTGTCCACCCAAGCGATCCCAGAAATGGTTCTACCGAAAACCTCACAGTTTCTGGAGGGTTTTGACTAGAATGGATACCTTTAAATCAGGTTGGACACCTTATGTTTATTACACAACGCTATACTCTATTCCACGCTATACTTTATATTTTAAGCGAATTTATTGGGCAGGAGAACTTTTAGAAAAGTAGGGAAATCAGAGTAGGAGACTCTTGTGTAAGGAAAAGAATTCAATACAGGGTTTAGCACCGAAGTACAGTGATTAGGGTTTTTTTTTTAATCAATGATGTAATGATCAATGCCATGCAAAGTACTAATTAAAATTAACCGGTGTCGGCAGTTAGCCCTGGATGATGTGGATACGAATGTGGATTATACATCAAATGACGCGGGTTCAAATCCTACATACTACCAACTGTTTTCTTTCTTTTCTTATTTACTACTTAAAGTTATAAGACTCCTATCATGTATTTTGAGTGAAGATGACAATCTGACTTTGGGGTATCCATTCTAGTCACAACCGTGTTGATGGAGTGGTAAATTGGACAGGTATATGTTGTTTGCACTTACATTTTGAAATATAATTGCCTATTCATTTTTTCATGCACTGGTTCAATAAACAAGCGGCAATAAGTAAATAAGCACTTGAATAGGCTTTTATACAATCCATAGCATTATTTAAGCTGTATACCAGGCGTAAACATCGACACATGTCTGGCCACTGTTATCAAGCTCGAAACAATCGACCAAATCTTCTGCGTACCAAATTTGAAACTTTTGACCGAGCGAAACGTTTAATGGGGGCAAAAGTTGGTTAAACACTAATTCAGGAGAGTTAACATCAGTTCCCTCTAGACTATACATGTAATATCTTTCGCCACATCTCCATGTTTCTCTCGAATAATCGGCCAGCAAAAGGGCAGACTTGTTTGTATACGTTATAACAGTGGCCAATTGCTTATCCCCAAACACTGGGTGCTTGCAACCCCAATGGGTTGGTTCGATGATCGAGAATCCACAAGTGACAGAACCGTTCCTATAAACCAGTTTGAATGTATTGACGAGTCCGCTTTTGTTGATCGTGAATGTTGCATGAGTGTCGCCAGCAGCTCCAAAGCAAACTGGGTCTTCGTTGATCTTTTTCCAGTTTTCTGAAAGTGATGAACATCAATCCGTTATAAATTGAATGTAATCTTAATCCAAAATAGCTGTAATGTCCAAATTTCTAACTTAACTTGTGGTTGCTTGACCCTCGGACGCATAGGAAGGGGGAGAGAGGGGTGGATGCTAACCCCCTCCCCCCACACTTTGAGATTTTTCTGAGTTTTTCCTAGAGGATCAAACATCAGCAGCTGATTTTTTCAGTAGGTGTTCTCTTAACCCTGGCGTGCATTCTAAAACAAGTTTAAAGATAATTTTGCGTTATTTACATGTCAAGCACAAAAAATTACCAATTATCTCCGCTTTTACTTGATTTCTTTTTTTGGTAAAATCCAAGATGGCGGCCAAGATGGCGACCATATTTGGTGACGTCACAGGTCTCCAGCAGTGCCACCACCCATAAAATATTCCATATCTTGTCGAGAAGATCAAAGGCTTTCCATTGAAGGTAAAATTTTTTTGTAATACTGCAACATGTGAAAGACTTAAGGGAAGGGTTCTATCAACCCGCCACCCCCACCCCCTCAACCCTTGTACCACGGTGGGGATATTACTCTGTTTGTTCGTCCCAGGGTTAAGTGGGTGATTCATTTTGATGCTGTTGATTTTTGTGTAAAGAAATCTACCCCAGGTGAAATCCTCCGTTGAGTGTCATTGAAATCCTTTATTGGCTGGCTTTTAATTCTTCATTACCGTGAACGGTAGGCAATAATTTGTCAAACCGCTTTTTTAAAAAAATGTTTTACGGTCGTGCTAACTGTAAACGCCTGCCTTTATGCCGCCACGGGCATGAGCTTGAGCAGCGACGTGTTTGAACCGTGGACGTCAACCGAAAGTTGACGTTTTTCACTCTTGAGCCATGATTCTGAACGATTTTTTGGTAAAGTCGTCTCTATAGGAGTAAAGACACTTAGCAATACAAATTTGGTAGCGTTAGGGTATATTAAAAGAGAAAAAGGCTCACTTCCGGTTAACGTTCGTCGCGCAAAAACGTCACTTCTTTATTTGTCGACAACTCGCATTATCAAAGTACAAAATACCTGTACATCGGTATCTTTTATCAGTAAATCCTGTTTGACATCTGTACCCTGAGGGGCATGGGCTGCTTGAGCAATAATTCTGTTGGAAAAATAAAAATAGCAGGCAATAACACTTTTTGTGATACGATGTACGACGTAAGTGTATTTTGAATTTTTTTTTCTGAGGGTTTCGCGAGGCGATCTTCTGTCGGTGCTACTTTCAAAAATATCTAACTTATGATATCAAAAATATTGACGTTTGAAGAGTGTTTTAAGCAACATTAACCCTTTATCGAAAAAATAGAAACCATTATGAACTAATAGCAGATTATAGCCAACTCAGCGCTAAGCGCCTCGTATCCATCTATCTCATATCCAAAACAAGTGCGAGTGAAATAACTATTTTATTAAAAACGCCCACAAAATATCGAGAATTCTTCCCGACTCTATTTGTAAAAACAACCGATTTTCAGCTTGTTTTTAATTTTGAGCAGACGCCTACAGTTACCATATTTGGAGAGCATTGCATAATGGATACCATGATGGCTAAGCCAATCAAAGCTCTAGGATTGCATTAGCCAATGATTCAGTTTTTAATAAATGCGGATACCGTTACTTACCCACACAGACTTATAGATGAACCCCTGTTGTTGCATGAGATCTTTAGGATGTATATTGTGATCTGAAAGACTCAGTTCACATATGTGCTGCCCCCCTTTTCGCTGTGGTCCGAGGTTGACTGACATGCAGTCATCGTCATCAAAGCAGCAGGCTTCGCATGCTGTTTCTGATTGTACCAATAAGGTCTTAGTCACGTGACCAACAAGTCTGCTTTGTAATGTTGGAGGCTGGAATTGCATTATTCTACAATCATCCAATGATGCTTTTGCTTCTATTACATGTTAGAGAGACAAGTAGACTTTATTAATAAATGGTGCATGATAAATGAAAAAAAAAATCTGCAGTGAACGATATCGTTGACAGAAGAAGAGAAAGAAGAAGAATGGCAAGAAAAACAACAGCAAACAAGGGCTAGAAGAAGAAGAGCAACAATAATAAGAACGACAACAACAAAAACTAAATTGTAGAAGAAGAAGAAGAAGATGAAAAAGAAGAAGAAGAAGAAGAAGAAGAAGAAGAAGAAGATGAAGAAGAAGATGAAGAAGAAGAAGAAGAAGGAAAATTTAACAACAACTCCAAAACACAACCACAACTTCAACAACAAGAACTAGAAAAAAAAGAGAAGCAAGAAGAAGAAGACGAAAAAGAAGAATAACAAAAATAACCACAACAACAACAAGAACTAAAACTGTAGAAGAAGAAAGAAAACAAAAACAACAACAGCGAAACCAAAAACAAGAACTAAAAGAAAGAACAACAACAAAAGCATAAACAACAAGAAAAACTGTAGATCAGAGACGAAGAAGAACAACAAGAACAAGAAGAAAAACTAAAACTGTAGAAGACGAAAAAGAAGGAGAAGAACAACAAGAAGAACTAAATAGAAGAAGAAGAAGAAGAAGAAGAAGAAGAAGAAGAAGAAGAAGAAGAAGAAGAAGAAGAAGAAGGACAACAAGAACAACAAGAACAACAACAAGAACAACAAGAACTAAGACTGTAGAAGGTGAAAGAAGAAACTGTAAAACTGTAGAAGAAAAAAACAACAACAACACAGTGACAGCAAATAACAAGAGCCGAATAAACTCGGCGGCGAGCATGTTAGGTGCCGGTGAGCATTCACACCCTTCAAAAACGGATTCATATGCTGGACTGATTTATGAACTTGATCAGATTGCCTTTGAAGCCAATCAATTTCAAAGTGCAATTACGGTTCTGGATTTCAACAACATTTTAGTATTTCTTATCTAAGGATGGAAGATTTCTCATGAATCTCGTGCGAGTGTTTTTTTAAAGGAGAACGGGCCACTTATTCCTATACCTGCCTATGTCTTTTATGTTATCACAAAAAAAAATTATTAAAGAATAAAAATGTAACAACCTACCAGCCAAACTTTGAAATCTTTCATTTGAGAACCAAACCAGAAATGCTCCAACGCTGAAACGAAGCAATAACATTCTTTGACTTCCTCGAGGATAAATGCTTCAAAGACGTCTCATATTTTCTTAGGTGTCATAAAGAAAAAAAGAGCCTTGGCAAGACTTCAAAAGTAAGAGAACTGAGAGTAAGACTCAGTAGTTATCACATTAATGCATAATGACTTTCTTGGTGAGCTGATGCATTATATATAAGTGAAACCCAAAAAATTGTCCTGTTTGTCATCTCAATATTACATAAAAAGAATGCACATTAGAGCAAACAGCTGGAGACCTTTTCAGGAATGCCGAATATCAAAAGAAACAACAAGCTTCTTTTATGGTTTTGTTGATATTTATTGATCTACCGTGACTTCAACAAAACAACATTCTCCAAGGTAATTGCTTTGTTCGTGTTGTTACTTCCAAACATGTAACTTTTAGTTTTGTTGTTGCGCCATAAATGATTATTTTCAGGATCGTTTATTTCTAAAAATTTTAAGTAACTTAAGAAAATTCTGAGATGTTTAAGAGCGACTATGTTTGTTCGCTTTTTTTTTAAATTTTGAAACCATAGATGAATATAGAAAACATAAAGACGAAAAACAAAATTCAGTATCATCAAAGGGTGATTAATAATTGCCGGCGCTTTCACTCGACTAAACAGGGACTGCCATTGGTTGATTCTTGGTCACATGGCCTTGACTAAAATCAAATGTATCCCGATCGTCGATCGTGATACATTTGTGCCTTTGTACCCTGCTCGGGATACAGTACAGCACGTGATCAAAGCATGGTGGAGGTAAGTGGCGTGAGATGATCGACAGAAGGCGAGAAAAACACTGCTAGTAAAACACTTTCGGGATTCGGGGATGATTAAAACAAGAGTCTACAACGCAAACATGAACACTTCACTGGTCTAAAAAGCAACAATTTTCAGAGATATCCCTGAAGAGAAACAGCAGCTAGTGGAGGAAAAAGATGCAGATAATATAAGGAAAATTTAATTTGTGTTCTTATAAGAACCGAGAAGATTGTNATGTATCCCGATCGTCGATCGTGATACATTTGTGCCTTTGTACCCTGCTCGGGATACAGTACAGCACGTGATCAAAGCATGGTGGAGGTAAGTGGCGTGAGATGATCGACAGAAGGCGAGAAAAACACTGCTAGTAAAACACTTTCGGGATTCGGGGATGATTAAAACAAGAGTCTACAACGCAAACATGAACACTTCACTGGTCTAAAAAGCAACAATTTTCAGAGATATCCCTGAAGAGAAACAGCAGCTAGTGGAGGAAAAAGATGCAGATAATATAAGGAAAATTTAATTTGTGTTCTTATAAGAACCGAGAAGATTGTTTTTGATTCGCTCCGGTTATTCTTTTGTTTCTGTTGAAGAGAAAGTCTAGAAATATAACAAAAAACGTAATGTCAGGTCCCTTGGAAACCAGTTAGTTCTGTTTTCCTTCGAGTCCTGATGTTCTAACTGTTTCCCTCGAGATCGGACATTAAGTGTAGACTGCAGACCTTATTTATTGATCATGTATCATCATCATCATCATCGTCATCATCATCATCATCATCTTCTTCTTTTATTTCCTCCTTGTTTGGTACGTGTACGTCAATATGTACTGACGTGCGTGTCTGAAAAATGTCAAGGATTATTAACAGCAAAAACAACAAGAGCAACAAAGAAAATAAAGGAAAACAGCAAATAATTATTGAGCTGCATAGAAATGAGCAATTTCTGGAAAGAGTGCAGATATCTACACACATGTCCAATACACCCGACCTGAATCAAGTTGTCTTCACCCGCAGGTAGATCGAGTCAGATCGCGACCAGAACCGGAAATGGGCGCAAGGCGCTTGTCAGTAGTACCGGAAGTAAGAGGTTAACAGGAGCGATGGGGGCTGACAATGTTGGCAAACAGACTCGATCGGATCCGATGGAGACAGCTCGTCCTGGCAAGAGTTGCTCGGACTCACCGGAAAGTCACTTCGCAACAGACGTAAAAATGAGAAGAAACAAGCGCGCTACAAGTAATATACGTCGTTCTTAAAGCCTTGAGCGAAACCCCCCCGGGGGGGGGGGCACTTGGGTATTTTTTGGGTGGGTATGTGCCGCCCAGGAATCCAAATTGGCACCCCGTTCTAAAAGAAATTCCCCTAAAATTGATACCCCGTTCTAGAAATGGGCCAATTTTTTATACTCCGTTCTAGAATTCGCCTTAAAACTGATACCCCGTTCTAGAAATGGGCCGTAAGCTAACGATTTTCCTTCTCCTCCCCCGTCCCTCTCTTATGGACTCGTTCCAGACTTCTGCTCGCCTATTTATCCAAGATAGCGGAGACAGCGCTTGCGGCTCGCGCCAAAATACGCCCGCCCTGCACGCTAAAACACAGGGTGCGATAAGAGTACAACAGTTTGCTTGTTAACGATTGAACCGTATTTTTAAAAGCAATCTGTTCTTGAATAATTTCAAATGGCTACTTGAAACTGGAGCTTTCGTGCGTTCGAAATATTATACCCCGTTCTAGAGAACGCCTCTGAAATAGATACCCCGTTCTGAATCAGGAGCTTCAAAATCACGACCCCGTTGGGCGGCACATACCCGTATAGGTAATGTATGGGTGTACCCCCCCCGGGAGCGAAACAAGCGCGCTACCATGTAATATAGGTCGTTCTTAAAGCCATGAGGTGAAACAAGCGCGCTACACATGTAATATCAATAATATAAGTCGCTCTACTCATGTAATACGTCGTTCTTGACGCTAACCAAGCGCGTCACACATGTGATATGGGTCTTATAAACCATGACATGAAGCGCGCTACACATGTAACATGCCAGTGACGCGAAACAAGTATTTTACACCTGTAATAGAGTGAGGCCGAATGTTTAAAGCAAACTTTTAATTTTTTTTTACTTCTAGCTGGAATTCACTACCTAATTAAAACGAAAATTCATCCAGTAGACTCTAATATCTGGTAGAATAAAAGTTCAAAAGACGACACTATCACACTCCCCGGTTTACTATATGACGTAGTACATTCTGCGTACATCTCCTGTCCAACTGCGGGCTCAAACTTTGCTTCCATCATCCAAACCGAAACATGGCGAGACCCAACATGGCGGTGTCTGTGGTCTGATGATCAAACTTTCTTTGATCTTAAGATCAATAACCTCCACAACACAATGCAGCAACGGTTAAACGGCTTGAAAAGCCGTAGCGATGAGTCCAGACTGCAAGCTGCTAAAGATCTGCAGCATTATGTCTCAACTGAGCTCCGGGAAGCTTCAGCCGAACAATACACGAGTTTTATGGACGAATTAAACCATCATATTTTCGAGATGGTTTCGAGTTCGGACGCCAACGAAAAGAAAGGGGGAATTATGGCGATTGGTGAGTATGAAAGAATTAGTGCCAAGTTGTATCATTATTTTTTTTTAATCGGCAAATATGTACGTATTTTGGCCATTTTCGACTCTTCTAGATAATGCGGTGCTGGTTAAGCTCTGTGGTTAAGGTTAACCTTACCAAAACCGATTTCGTGCTTGATCATGATGCACAGTCGATTATCTTCAAACTATGGAATGAATGAATGAATTAATGAGTAAATGAATGAATGAATGAATGAATAAATAAATAAATAAATAAATAAATAAATAAATAAAAGAACAAGTAAACAGGTAAAAAAGAAAATTCACTG